ACACATACAAACACACACACACACACATACACACACACACACAAACACATACAAACACACACACACACACACACACACACACACACCATGTCTCCACCCTGCATCACAGACAGACACACACACATACATACATACAAACACACACACACACACACACACACACGCACACACCATGTCTCCACCCTGCATCACAGACAGACACACAAACACACACATACATACAAACACACACACACATACACACACTTACACACACACACACACACACACACATACACATACCATGTCTCCACCCTGCATCACAGATTTGCTAGTACTGTGACCGCTAGTCTCCACAGGTCGAGCGGCAGAATACCTAAAGACCAAAAAAAAAAACCTTTTTGGTTCATGTTATTTTATTAAGGTTTTACGGTGCTCTCAACTGCATAAGGTCATATGAGCGCCAAGGGGTGGATGTCAACAGAGAAGTCCAAACGGGGAATCAGGCTTACTCTGCTCACCTCTCTAGCCTCAACAGCACAAACAAAATATTTAAAAAGTCCACTCCCACCAAATATTTTCTGTATTCTTCAAAACATCAAATGGGCAAAAAAACATGTTTGAGTGTAGAATGTTTTCTACAAGTCGATCGGGGTCTCTTTTTCGAAAGAGGAAGGGGAAAAGTTAAGTAACCAATTTGTATCCACGTACATGAACAGCATTTATTAAACATGTACAATACGTATTCCTGAAATAACAAAACTAATACGATGAATACCTGGAGTGATTTTTATTTAGTCAGAACACAACGTTTTACGTCACTGTTGTACTTTGTATTGTATTGTAAAGTGCTCAGAGCCTGTGTACTTTATCGGAGTTGAGCGCTACAAAAATGTCATTTATTATTATCATTATTAAATCCATGTCACTCCGTCTATCGGCCCGTCTGCCTGCCTGCCTGCCTGTCTGTCTATATATATATGCAAAAGTAAATTTATATTGTCAACCTCTTCTGCACCTTACTTTGACTTTTAAGCTCATAACACAATACAGAACAACTCTTGTCCCAGCAACAACAAAAAAAAAAGAAGAAGAGCAACCCACGAGCATTTCTTAACAAGGCCACAGCCCATCCGGTGATCGTTCGGTACTTACATGTTTGTCCCAAGCCTTGTGCTCCGGTCCCCCTTAGCGTCAAAGGAGCCTTCCCTAGTGACAGCAACATAGGCCGCACCACCCTGGAACCCAATGTTCCTTGACGTACCAGAGGCATCATAAGATCTAAAGCAAGATAAGAAAGCAATTTGACAAATCTTCAAAAGAAAGTTCTCTCTCTCTCTCTCTTCTGGTGCTGTGGCGTCATAAATGGTCAGCGATGCCGACAGCACACAGGAACTCAACTAAAAGGAAGTTAAAAAGTAAAATAACAAAATTTGATATGTACAGAAGTTTCAAGAAATTTTGACAGAGATTTGAGGAGAGAGAAGAAGATTCATTAAGTACATGCATGACACCAAGGATTAGTTCAATAACAACACATGCTATCCAGATAATAATCCACGGATAAACTATCATATTGTTTTAAACCATTTAGTAACCTAAAATGTTTCACAGCACCTTAAGTTGTTTGGAAGTTCTAAAATATTTACCAGGTTACCAGTCATTGCTAATATTTTCAACATAATTTCATATAAGTGAAAAATATGCTCTGTGAAGATACAGATCAAAACATAAATTGTATACATCCCAGAAAGTTGAGATTGTTTCAGAATGCTGTCAGGTCTGTTGGGGGTAATAATATAGTATGTAAAGCACACAGAGCTTGCTGTTGAACAGGAATTTGCACTATACAGATGATGCTTATTTATTATTATCATTATTATTTGTATAGTTATTGTTTTTTGTAGAAAGACTTATGAGATGCTCACTCTGACTGACAGCTCACCTGATAACACCTGGGACTTCTGTGCCAAAAGGTAGATTACCACCAGGGGTGAGGATGAATCGTCCATTGTTGTTCTGGACTTTGTCTTTCAGGAAAATAGAGACCTGTACATGCAAATTGCAAGACAGTCTATAGAAATAATATATCAGAGAATCATGCCTGGACTAGATAAACTGCATTTCATTGAGGACTAATTTTTGAAGGACATCAATTAATATTCTTTTATAGTAAAATCAAAATTTGATTAATGCCTTCTCCTACGATATGTGCATATTATAACGCAACAAATGATGTCAGTCTATTCTTAAAATCCCCCAAATCCAAACAAATTAGGGATACCAGTTCAGATATTGGACCATGTTACTTTCTGGTTCTCTTAGTGCAAAATTTAACAAAATTTAACAGTATTCCTACACTACCTTATACAGGATTTCCATGCCGTCATTATCCTCGATAATGCGGAGCATGTTTTACCAACAAAATCTTTCATAGATGTTTACAAGCAACTCAGTAATTCAAGTAAAGACACTTACACGTATGTGCATGTCTTGAAAGAAGCTCAACAATGTTTGTCTGATCAACTGAAATTCACCATTTGACAGCGATGCGTATGTCTGTGGATAGGAATTTTCAAACAAAGATCATCTACATATACCATGACTTTAAAAATCGTTCAGATCTAGATTGTCTTAGTACTTGTACAGGCACAGCAGATTGTTGTGTCCTCTGATAGTAGGGTCTGCAACAGGAAGAAAAATTCACCCCTTCCCAGAAAGTTCTGTCAATTAAAAAAACAAAACAATTAAGAGAAAAAGAACAAACACAGTTAATAGGTAACATATTATTAAACTGCAATAGAGTTGAACAATTAATACATAAAACAGTAATAGTTGAAAAAATAAATCTTTACTCTGGAAGGAAAAATAATAAACAAAGTAAAAGATAAAGCATCACAACAGAATAAAAATTTCCATTGCTCAATTGTATAGAGTAAAGCACATCAGAATGATACTGATTGTTTTGTCTTGTTTAAATGAAAGAGACAGATAGAAAAATACAATTAATTGGAAAGCTTTCTTTGACAATCTACACGTTTGAAAACAGGAAAGAGTGCCTTACGTCAATGAGCATCTTGTAGACCGTGTCCACCTGACCGCGCACGGTGGTGCTGCCCTCTACGTACGCTCTCATGGCGTCCATGTGGTTCAGAGTGATCAGTATGATGTCCTTGGGCCGCAGAGCCAGAGAAACCTGGTACTTGAAGGCCATGGTCATCAAATCGTACAGCTGTTTGGGTAGCGGAATAGAAAGAACTCTGTGAACTTGTGGGGGAATATGAGGGTGAGTGAGAGGGACATCTCCTCCCCCATCCTCCTTCTTTGGCTCACAAACCATGTAATCCCAACTGACACTGCAGAAACATGTCAGCTCATAATTAGCTCTTTGTACACATCTAATAAGCTGTAAGAAAGGCACTGAGTATACTTTTAAAATCTAAATACTTATGTAGGCCTACTAAGCATATATATTAAAAGTCCACTGTAACAGGAACAGCAGGTTTGATGACTGGCAAGAGAACTTAAAAATATTTGTCTTTAGCAAACAAATAATAGACTTGTACGTATCATAAAAATAAACATTTGTTTGATTCACAGTTCTCAAACATTTGAACCTCGACAAGGCACAAATGCAAAGTGAATTTGATAACCACAAGACTAATAGGCCTATTCATAAGCACATACAAAACTACAACTTTTTCATGAATCATCTAAACTACAGCAATAATAAACCGCAAATAAGATTTTATCATTCACATCCAAAACACAATCTTTCAGACAACAGAGCAGTTAAAATATAATCACATCATTCTCACAGTGAACTGAAACATACTCATATATCCATGTACATGATATAAATTAACACACAAGATACACCTTCACCTATGCACATTCATGTAGGCTAGGTTATTTATTGGGCCATAAGAAAAAGGTAGCAATGCTCAGAAGTAGATGCTGATTAAAAAACATGAAACAGTTTATCAAAATGTAAAACTAAACCTTATCCATGCTAGCAGCATTGAGTCTCATGATGGATGCATGAGCGAGCCGGTCAAACACTGTCCGCATGGCCTTTTTCGAGTACAATGCCTGTGGTTTAAACAGCTCTTCCATGAAACGTTTGTTGAACATGGTGGCCACAATGTCATTGAGAACTGGGAATAAAACGGAACGTAATGTCAGTGACAAGGAACAGGACAAAAAGAGTGATTAATGCACTGAAATAAAACAGCTTTTAAAAAGAAGTTATGCATTCAAGTTTCCATGTATCCAGTCCATAGAGTAATTAATGCACTCTTGACAAAAGTGTTGAAAATCTTTTATATATCTTGGTTGTTCTTCCAATAGTTCCGTACTTTTCTTAGTTACAAGTGGAAAAACACCTCTTGCCTTGCTTATTCTAATCTTGAAATCTGCATGTATTCCTCCAACATTACCTATCATGTACGTGAAAGGAATCAACTCCCTCTGGTGGTGCTTCGTTGATGGTTTCCTGATCATTGATGGTGATGTTGAACCTAATAAGTATCATGGTCTTATATGTAGGTGTACATTAAGGCATAAGAGTGAATCTCTGCACGCTATATACACAATCTGTCATTTTCTAATTCATCTGTTGGTAACTCTGTGAAAGTAAAGCAAGATCCGCTGAAAAGTCTAAGACTTCAAGTTGTGGGTCCCATAATATCCAAATTGCATTCCTGTCTTACTGCACTCTGTGGTCGTCTTCATGACCCAATCGATGATAGGAAGAAACAAGAAAGCTGACAGTACATGTCTCTGTTTTGCTCCTATATGTATATCCGGAAGCTGCAGGTAAACTTTACTGGCCTTCATGGATGACTCTATGTCAGCCTTGTATCCTTAAGGATAGTATTCATGGAATAGTCTAACAAGTTTTTTCTGGGACGCCAAAATTTCGGAGAATTTTCCATAAGGTGTCATAACAGAAACTGTGAATGCACCAGATGCAAATGTTTTGTTAGACGACATTTTTCAAACCATGTCAAAGAAAAGTAAAACAAGCAATTAATAATTATAAAAGTAGGCCTACATCCAGATGCAGAAATGGAATACCAGTCAATGCATTTTTTAGAGACACAATTTAGCATTTTTCAATTGCTTTCTGTGCGCTTGCATTGTGCAGCTAATTTTTGTAATTTGTAAAAGGCACAAACTATTCATATTCTATCCTATATAAAATAATATAATAAAACTATAATTAAATATAAGTAAATATTATCCTTTACCTGTAATTTAAAAAAGTAGCCCTTTTCGCAAAGTTTAATTAACCCTATCCGTATGCCATGTATTCTTCATCTTCACATTTTAGAGAATACTTCTAGATCTAGTACGAAGATTATCTCTTTGAAACTTTCAGTATTTCTCAAAAAATAATTTTGACAGCCTGCATTTGCAAAGCGTATGGATCGGAATAACGAGTACATTTCCTCTTTGGAAGTGGTGTTACAGAGTCCCCCATGTCGTATGAATACGAAAGTAAAACATGACGTGCAGACCGGATAGGGCAAGAAAACTAATTTTTCATTTCTATATGTATGACGTGCGGACCGGATAGGGTAAGAAAACTAATTTTTCATTTCTATATATATGTATGAGCTTGAACGCAGGAATCTATATATTCACATAAAGCAGTCACTTTATAATACAGTGGTTCAGTGGTACATTTTTTCTTTGCTGGGGACCTAGAATCTAGATCTATCTAGATCTAGATCTAGATATCTAGATCTAGATTGGATTAGTTCAAATACAAGGCAGCAAGGCCTACCTTTTTTAGCTTTTTCTTGCGGTATGTTCTGAGCACGAAGTCTTTGATCCAAAATATACATCATCTCTCCACCGAGATTGATGAAAAGCAATGGGAGGGTTTTCAGTGACATTTTGGTTTTGTGATGAATAGAGCTTCGAATAACCAGCAAGCCTTCGTGGTGAGAACAAAATTATGTGCTCCGGTCGATGCGCCACAGACCAAATTGAGAAATTCCCTTGACACTAACGACGCTTTCTGAGCACTTCCGGTGGTAGGCAACACTCTTTTACATTGAAGTGAAAGAAAAAACCATATTCATTTTAAAACTGCTGAAGACTGTTGTAATAAGTTCTCCTCCTGTCAGCCGAATCCACAACAATCAATAGGCTTTTCCTACGGGCCACGGGAGACGCATTCACAACCTAACTGATCTACCACCAACGCTTTGAACTTTGAAACAGCGTCATCCCCAGCCAGCCCTTTGCTTTGTTGACGGTGCACGAGTGCAGTGTTGCGCGACGTTGACTGCATGGTTCTCCACGTTTGCTTTAGATATCTGGCCAGATCTCCCAGATTATTCCTGCCAACGTCAACGAGGTCGAGATCCGTGGTCTTTCAGGAGGAAAAATATCCAGTTTTTCGTCAACAACGTTACTTGAGCTCCTCGGTAAAAGTCCATGTTATGTAATGTAGCCTAGTAATTTAAAAATCTAGAGCTAGATCTAGATTTAGATCTAGATAATCTAGAGAGTCTAGATCTAGATCTAGATCTGGATCTATAGTTTGTTCATTTTTGCCTGTCTGTGATTTTACGAAGTGGAAGTGGCTATTCTCATCCGGGGTGAGAATAGAAAAACGATCTACCTCTCACCCCGGCCCCGGGTGAGACTTGCCAGCGTAGGCTATTCTCACCCGGTGCGAAACAAGACCTGCTTTTCCTCATTTTGGAATACTGTCTATCGGTGTGGATGATCAAATTGATAAAAGCCAAGAAAAAATTACGTTATAGCATAAATTATAAAAGTAAGCTAATTTGATCGTCTTCAAAGATGCTATGGCTATTTCACTGTTCGAATCGAGCCGAACTACGCGGGTCGCCATTTTGTTTTGCCCGGAAGTTCTCGCAAGATCTACTCCTCCCGTCTCTCTCTCTCTGTCTCTTTCTGAATACTGTCTATCGGTGTGGACGATCAAATTGACCAAAACAAAGTTAAAAAATAATGTTAAAACACAAAAGTAAATTAATTTGGTTGTCTACAAAGATGCTACGGCTATTTAACTTTTCGAATCGAGCAGAACTACGCGGGTCGCCATTTTGTTTTGACCGGAAGTTCTCACGCTACTCCTCTCTCTGTCTCTTTCTCTCTCTCTCTCTCTTTCTCTCTCCACTGCCCACATACAAAATTGTACGCTTTTAGTTTTAGTAGGCTACAGTTGTAATGGAACGTTTGTTCACGGCACAGAATTCTACAATTTTTCTGTTATCACAGTGTAGAATTCTGTGGTTTAGGGTGAACGCAAAATTTGTTGGCCTAGATCTAGGCTATAACAGTGAACGCGCACCGGGTGAGAATAGCCAAAGGACTAGCCTGCACTATTCTCATCCCGGGTGAGAATAGAGGTGGCCTTACGAAGTGACTATTCGGACTCGAGTCCAAATATGAAAAAAATGTTATTCGGACTCTGATTCTTGTCCAGCATGACATCACTTCCGACTTCCTGTGACTCGTGACTCCGGCTTCCTGTCCTGCCTCACTCGTGACTCGCCTCAGGCTGGGTAGAGACCGGGATCACTTCGGGCAAAATGGCGTTAAATTGTGCCAGAGCCGAGTTTTTATCTTATGATGAATTTGAGGCCGGCCTGAAAAGTTAAAGCGCTTCTAATAAATGTTTATTTGTCAAGAGGTCATCAGAAGCAATTAAAGATGGCTCGTTAGCGTGTGTCGGGGTGGGATGGGCAGCCTGCACACGTGTGGCTGTGTGTGTGTGTCGGGGAAGGGGGGGGTCGCTATCGGTCCGGGCGTTGAACGTCGCATACGGGTCAGTCCTCCCCCCATACTCCGTCGCGTCAACTGATCATTATTACAATAATAAGCTAGTCTTGATGTAGATCTACGTAATGAATTGTGCGCTGGTCTATGGAATCAAAAGTTGCTGTATGCTCGGCTCTACACAGCAACACAACTTTTTCTTGGTAAACAATCGAGATGACACAGGCCTGTGTGTATTTGAACGAATCTGTCTTTTTTTTATTACACAGCTCATAATATGCAGGTGCCAGGAGATCTGCTGATCTTCAATTTTACCTTTTGTTGTAGAACAAAGAAAGTGGGAAACATGGGGGGGGGGGCGTATCAATGAGGCGGTGGGTATCGGATCGGCAGACAAGGTATGGGGGAAACTAAAAAATGGCGGAAAATTGGAAGCACTGAACGTTAGATCTATAGAACGAAGACACTTCCTTTTTTCCGGACCCATGTCCGAATAACATTTTTTTCTTATTCGGACTCGAGTCCGAATATGACATTTTTTTATTCGGACTTGAGTCCGAATATGAAAAAATGTTATTCGGACTCGAGTCCGAATAATGATGGCCGTGATTTTAACAAGTTAGAGAGACAAAATCCACTGTTGTTTCATATTCTCTGTAATCTCAGGTCGGCTTTCTTCGGGAGAAGCGGTCCCGGCCTAACTCCATGCCATTGAATGCTTGAAATTTCATTAGATCTAAATCTATGTACATCTACTCAATCAGAAACAAATACAGAAGTCACGAAAAGGGGGGGGGGGGGGGGCTGCTAAATTCACACAAATAATGGTTTGTGACAGTTCTTAGTGCCAAAATTGTTCTCAGCAAACTAAAAACGAAGTGATTATTTGGACTCAAGTCCGAATAGACAAAAATTATATTCGAATTCTGAATTGAGTCGGTAAATTTTTACTTATGCACCCATACATAGATGCATTGATTTGAGGGCTAAACTGCCATAATTTTTGCTGTAGAACACACGTATGATGGCCACTAAAACCCTTGCAAATCAATTGTTTTCAAGTAAATGTCAATCCTAATTGCCAAAACATCAGATCATTGCAGAATGCAGGGGGGCATGCCTTCCTGAAACCCCCCAGATTCTTTTTAGGTCATGCCCCCCTGAAACCCCCCATATTGTTAAATTTACTATTTTCAAACACCAATAACTCAATAACTATTGATTTGCGGCAAAAATGAAGGCCATATTCGTGTTCAGCATGCAAAATACTACTAGAAAAGAAGTATATAAAACGTGAACATGAGATGGGTGCATAAGTAAAAAAAACATTGAGTCCAGCATGACATCCGTTCCGACTTCCGACCCTTGTTCCTAAATATTTCCAGCATTTATGAAAATGTTTTGGATTATAATAACAATCGAGAAGTGAGCTTTAACATCGAGTTACTAGATCTATCTAAACTGGCCCTCCCTGCATCATTAGTACGAACAGACCAACCAAGTTGAGTTGACCTTGCCGGGGGGCAAAGTTAATTATGTTGACCAATAAGACTGTATGTAGCGATCATGCACTCTCTGTTTGCTTTAGGAAGAGGCCATGGCTGTCGGGTTTGTGCGATGTGATTAAAAAAAAAAATTACAAAAAAATTATACCACTCAACAAAATGAAATTAAACATGTGGAAAGACAAATGGTGGTGGAAGTAATGATGATGATGTAGTGGTGGTGGAAGGACCCTCAGTTGTACCGTGTACTAAGACACTGCCATTGGGTAGATCTAATGAGAGTGCAGTCTTTTGACTTTTGACACAATTATGCAGTCCTAGAATCTAGTAGGTAATTCTAGTTCTCATTCTGGTTTTATGTAAAAATCCCCGGACGACAGTTGAATATTATGTAACCTCCTTACACTCACATAACTCACTTAGAAGCTGAGTCCGAATAAATAAAACATTTATTCAAAATAGATAAAACCGAGTCCGAATAGAGCTGGCCAACTAAAATACGTTAAAGTGGTGCCAAAAAATAGTCTAAAATGGTTTGGAGCTTTGTTCTATAAATTTACGGGTGGCCTTTTCACCCTGGCAACTCAGTCAGCTTTTTACTCGACTTCCGTTTTTGTTTCCGATTATGTGTATAAATTTCTATGGGACCACTTCTCCCGAACAGTGCCCTCAGGTCTTTGCATGCAAGTCTACTGTATTTAAAAGTTGGCTGACCAACAGAAAAATGCCCATTCAGTCAGTGACTGTGTCAATGACATTAGAGATCACTGCAAGGCACTAAGGTTCCAATGTTTTCTTTTTTTTGACAATGACAATGACAATCTTTATTCATCTCACAGGGAGAAATTTGTCTTGGTCGTTTACAATGGCAGTAGACGTTACAAAAGTTAGACTTAAAGGTGCACTCACGCAAACGGACAACAAGACAGGACATTATGCCAAGTAAATACATGTCTCACGGGCTGGGACAACCCGCTCCGTAACACATTCATTCTCTCTCTCTCTCTCTCTCTCTCTCTCTCTCTCTCTCTCTCTCTCTCTCTCTCTCTTTGTTTCATTTGTAGCACTGTGTGTTTAGTAACCTCACTGCAGTTGGTACGAATGAATTTCTATATCTGTCTGTTCTTGCTTTTTTGGAAATGTATCGTTTACTTTGGGTCGATAGTTGAAATTCCGATGTCAGTGGGTGGCTATGGTCATTAAGCATTATTTCCGCCTTTTTTAGAACATTTGTCTTGTGCAGATATTCAAAGTTACTTAGGTCTCTACCAATTGTTCTTGATGCCTTTATGTTGATGTTAGTGACAGTGGGTAAAAAAATTGATATTGGATTTACAGCATGCACCTAAAGTATCAAAAAGTTTACCTATTTTCGTAAACACCACACTAGATCTTATAATGCTCGATATGAAACAGTCTAACAAACAGGTGAGTGGGCCTACTTTTCGAGACTGATTTGGAGACATCTAGACAGTAATATTGGGAGGAAATGTACAAGCTTACACTGAAATGTTGAGACAATGTCATGTGGTGTTGCTGTCTCAAAATTAGCAATTTTCAGGCAAGGTACTTGTTAATAATTTAATGTAGTGATTCTGTGTCACAGCGCCGAAAAGTGGCCGAAATCGTACTTCTTAGTTTCCCAGGCCAGCGACATTTGAAAGTCATTAAATCACCGTCGGAACCGCTCCGTGCCGGGTTACGCGGGGGTCACTGGCCGCTCCGTTGCGGATCAGTTGCAGGCTGTCAGGTCATGGCGTAATCGACACTTTTGACTCTAATTATCGAGAGAGTCCTCACTCTAACCTTGAATTATTCCATACAAAAAGAAAAGAGCAAGATTCTAACTCTCAGTCTGTGAAAACTCGATCTCAATGCGACGATATTTGCCGGTTACAGTGTGTGCAAAATATTCTGAATTTCATCGAATTTAATCTGTGTATGCTGCACTTAATTCACTTTTAATTTCCAAAGTGCCCACTCAATCTCAACAAATTTTGGCACATGCACTGATGACATATTTGTGCTTTACGTATATAATTTTCATCATTGTTGGAAGAATGGTTATTGCAATATTAAGTCGCTTACATCTGATTCTCATCCGTTGTGCTTAATGTGTATAAATTTCATCTTTGCTGACTGAGCCGTGTTACGATATTAGGTAGAATCCATTTGCCCGTGATTCATTTCTAACAGGTTTACTGAAATCTCCCAATGGAACACACATACACACGAGAGGCATTTCTCCTCCCTGAATGAACTTTGTCGCGTTTGCGGGTGTAAAAACGGGACTAAAGTACAACAGAGGCTGAAAAGAAAGGCTAGGACATGTGAGTCTTTGCAAAGTGATATTTTATTAATTTATGACATTGACATAAGACACAGATGACAAATATTCAAAATTTATTTGCCACAAATGCTACATGAGGATCTATGATACTAAGAAGAAGACCATCCCATCCACCCTTAGAAAAGCGTGAGATCTGGTCAGAAACAGCCAACACATATGAACTGTGGACAAAATTACACGACAGCACAAGAAATACAAGAAAAGATCCGCTTTTCTAGGACATGTGCTGCCATGAGTGACACACAAGAAGAGAAGGGAACGTTTAGGACAGAGACAAGGCGGCTGCGGCACACCCTGTCTGAACTTGATCGCGTTGAGCTGTCCCCCCAATCTGGACCAGTGGCTTCCAGCCTTGACACTATTCTAACTAAACACCGCATTACACCACGAGCTTACCACAGTCGATCATTCATTGGCAATCATTGCCACAAATACCTCTACCCAAAGGTGTACAAACATCTCACTCAGACAATTGTAGAGCAGACAGAGATGTACACGTGTGATCCAATCATTGTTGACAAAGCACACACTATAGGTTGGATTTTCGACTCTCTCAACCAAGCATACAGTCAAATTTATAATGACATCCCACACTGCGCACTTATTCCGGAAACATCTATCCCAGCAATTCAGACAGCAATAGACACGTACACGAAGCTGTACAAAAGACATTTTCCAAAAAAGATAATCCCCAAACAGCACATTTTAGAACAACACTGCATTCCATTCATAACACAACACGGCTTTGGCTTGGACCTGCTGGGAGAACAAGAAACCGAAAGCTGTCACCAGTCTATTTTAAAAATTGAAAAGCGGGCTCAATGCATCGTAGACAGTACGGAAAAACTACGATACGTTATGAACGCACATTTGCTCCAGACAGCACCTTCACTGGGCATCGAGGCTGCAGGCACTGAGAAAACAACTACGGTGCCATAGATTCACAAAATGTGAAATAGTTCTGTGTCATTTAATGAAAGATTTTGTAGTGTGGATTTCATCACAAGCCCGACGAATTTGGCTGTTGAACAAAAATACAAAAATGTGGATTACTAATCTTCCAACAATGATGTCCTTTGGTAAGTAGATCTAGATACCCACATTAATTGTCTTTTTTTCTGAGTTTTGGTGAATTCTTCCCGCCCTGTGGTTGTTATATATATTATACTTTTAATTCATTGTATATTACCTTCATTACCACATATAAGACGGCTGTATTTGATCACATGCAGTTAAAAAACTATACTAGATATTGTCGTTGCGTTTTCACAAAATGTACATTGAAAGTAGAAACTCAAAGATGGAACACTATGTGTATATATTGATAACCCTGCTTTCATTCGTGAGCGTTGAAACAAAACTGTGTAAAATTGTCGTGGTATGTAACCCCGCGTGTGGAGTGAGCGCAGGTAGACTGACCGGCAGCTGACCCCGGTCATGGTGATCGAGCAGCGTACAGCCTGGCGAAATTAAACGACCGCTGATTCGGCGCTGTGGTGTAAGTTAAGTTTATAACAATTGCCGTGATGTAGATTTATCTAAAATTCTGAGTGGGTGGGTGGCGGATGCTCTGTGTTGTTTTCTTCTTGCCTTTCAAACATCTATCGTCCTTATCTCTCCTTCTTCTTTTTTATGTTTGTTACTGTTGTAACAGCTCTAATCTTCTGTCGCTCATATGGCCTTATGCAGTTGCGAGCGCCAAAAAACCTCTACCACCTCCACTAAAATTAAAACTAAAATTCTGCTCACATTTGATTTGACTTTGACTGCACTGAGTGAGGTTTAGTGGAATTGCTTCTTGTTTAGCTCTGAGAGCAATTTTGACCACATGACTTGCACGGATGAATAGTCTGGGTGGGTGGTGTTTCCGCTTTATAACGTCTTATTCAGATTTGATGGATTTGGACATTAAAATTTAAAGCTTTGACTTTGGCTTGTTATGGTTTCTTATGGCTGGTATTGTTCGTATTTAAATTAGTAATGGACCCGTCTCAAGTACAGGTTCTATCATGTTCGGTACGTTTTTCTAGTATTGTTTTTTGTCTTATGAGCGCGAATTGTATCGACTTCATTTCTGCGCAAATCATGACTTTTTGAGTTATTCATTGTTTTTATGTGAACTACAGTTTATTACAATAGGCTCAACTGCTACGTAATATTTCACTTGCTTTCATTAGCTTTGTTATCAATATTTCTTTTTCTATTAACAAACACCCCCCCCCCCCTCTCTCTCTCTCTCTTTCTCTTCCCCCCATTCTCTGGCTCCTTCTCTCTCTCTCTCTCTCTCTCTCTCTCTCTCTCTCTCTCTCTCTCTCTCTCTCTCTCTCTCTCTCTCTCTCTCTCTCTCTCTCTCTCGCCCTCTCACCCAGAGTAATCTGCCTGAGCCTATACGTTCTTACTAACTCTATGACCGTCTAGGCCTGAGCTGATGCACTAAGCAGTGAACACACACCAGATGAACATAGCCAGAAAATTTGCCCTCTCACCCCCGAATTTTTTGATAATAATTTCCTCATCATCTTTGTCTTTAAAGTAAGTTATTGGTGTTTTCTTGGAAATAACATTACATTTTTTGTCTCTCATGTAAATCTAAAAAAACTGCATTGCATACTGTGCTTTTACTAAAACTTTTTGAAATAATGGCAGGTGTGTGTTCTGCAGCCAAAAATATGTCAGTTTTTGCCCCCAAAAGCAGTGAATCTGAGTGTGGGTGTGATAGCGTCCCTGTCGTTTTATGCAAGAAAAATTATGAAATTATGCAAACTGAGCCAGCGAACTTATGCGATTCTGTTACTTTTAACAAAGAATGATAAAGGAAAATAATCAGAAATTGTGCACACAAAAAAAAGATCTAATTGTGTTAAATTATGCGGGGTGCATAAAACCACGGGACAGGTGTGATAGTAAAATTTTATCATGTTGTTTTCAATGTACTCTTATTTGTACTAAAAAATTAACGAGAAATGTCAATAGATACTTCAGTTTCAGACGTTTCTTTACTACCTTGTATGACTAGATCTACATTCAATCTTAATGTTTAGTTATACAGTCATCATCATCAATGCCTTTCATCCCTGGCAGGGTACAGGCCACATGCAAGCTGCTTCCATTTATTTCTGTCCTGGGCCATCTTTCCCGGCTCGTTCCAAGTGAGCTTTATCTCTCACTCTCTTGTCCCTTTCCACACATCTCCTCCATGTTTCCCCTGGCCTACCCCTGCCTCGTGCTCCCGCTGGGTTCCACTGCTGCGACTGTCTTGTGAAGTTTCCGCTTGGCTTTCAGGTGTGTCCCATCCATCGCCACTTTCTTAGTCCTATTTCTACTTCTGTATATATCCTTTTGTCCTGTCCTTTCCCACAGCTCTTCATTTCTTATTCTATCCTGCCACTTAATTCTTAGGATACTCCTCATACATTGTCATTGTTGATGAAAATCTGGACATTATTCAGCACTGTCTTTGTTGTCTTCCAAGTTTCGCAGCCAGTTAAACAGTGCCTCTTTCAAAAGTCCTGCTGACATAGAATCCCCCCCCCCAAAAAAAAAAAACGTATTTAGTCACACAACGCAATAAAATTAAAGTCTGGAAATAAAAGTTACATATATTTCCTCCTTGTGAATTTTCTGTACGAAATGATACAGTATGGGCTTACAGTAGTTAATTACATGTAATTGGGACAATCTGATTGTCAAATCTTACTTTATTGCCTAAATTCACCAAATCTGAATTAAGGGTTGTGAAGTGGAAAAATCACGTTTTTAAAAATAATGTACTTTACTGCAACTGCGTACTATAGTACTACTTGTTGTCTGTGCGTGGTGGAAACTAAAGGCTGGAGGTCAAGGACGCTGTTATTGTTATTTAGCCCACTCTATGTACGACGCAGTTTTCATTTCTGTGTAAGGTGCGTGTCAGCTTTTGGGGTTAGCCAAAACAACACAACAAAGGCCTTTTTTTTAACAGTTCCGTCCAAAACAGTTTTTTGCACAGTTAACCCCATAAAAGTATATTTTCCCTAAAGAAAATTTAATGTATTTTCTAAATACACTGTTTGATTTTTTTTCTCCTTAATATCACATCATGAAACATGAAGCTGTATGAGAATTTTAAAGAAAATCTATTTAATCGAACGACAAGTTTGTGTCTCTTGTTTCCATGGAAGTTACAATTGACAATGCAATTGAGGGAAAAAACCTTTCGGATGAAAAGAAACATCTAAAGATATTATCGATATATAATGTTTTTAAATACAGGAAACCAACACTGTAATTAATTGTAATGCCTCATGGTAATGTCTCAAATCAAAACTCGCTAAGCACAAGTTGAAAAAAAAATTGACATTAAATAAGCCCCAATTGTAGACTGATGGCTGAACCACGCTAAGCATGGGAGCTCTTGTTGCTTAGAGGTTAAGGTGTTCGCCTCTCATTCAAAGGTCCAGGGTTCGAATTCTGGTAGCAATGGAACATTTTCTTCTCTAAAATTGTCTCTGCTTTCATATCCACTTTCTGCCCCCACCCCTCACCTCCCCCCCTCTCATTCTTACTGCTGTCCTTTAGCCACACCCCTGATTTTCTAGTAGAAAAGATCTACACCTAGCCTTCTCGGACAAGGGCGAAAAATCTTGGAGGGCCCGTGTGCAAGTTGCGCACATGAAAGATCCCTTGGTGGTCTAAAATCGATATGAGTAGGCTTCGGCCGCCACCCGGACAAAATTCAGAATTTCCTACCACCTGAAAAAGTTTAATGTGTCCCGCGCACTCATATGACCTTATGCCGTTGCGAGCGCTGTAAAACACTTACCCAAAAAAACCCAACAAAAAAACCAACAACAACCCGGCTCTTACCGAATTGTTGCTATATTCTATATATATATATATATATATATATATATATATATATATATATATCAATTACCGTACATGCCTTTAAGCACGGTGACTCGGCTTCGGGCACGCTTCATTTACAAGACCGCCAATACTTTCATGACGACCAATCGAAGTTCGAACTCTAACACAGTTTACATCGCAGAAGTGAGCGTGTTACGAGAAACATGAAGAACGGAAGTGATAGACACACACACGAAGGCAGAGAGCGCGTGGACATAGGATCTAGCCTAGGGCAAAGCTACACACAGACGAAAAATTTAAAAAAATTGTCGGGGAGACGAGAAAGGGAGGCTGGTTGCGATTTCACCTTTGCCCCTCGATCGCTATCCGATAATCCTGATTATGTATCACGCGCGAGGTGGGATGAAGCCGGTGGTATGAATGTGGCACATCGGGCAGTGGTACGCACATTCAGCGTGTAGGCCTAGTGTGCTGTATCGTGACTGGCCGTTTCAATTAAGTTTTCCTTTTCCATTGGACCACAGAACGAAACAACCAAACAAACAAACACTACCACGGATGGTACAAATGACAGCGCACACTTTTGCGCGACCACTACTTACGGACAAAGGGACATTTTCTTTATATAAAATCATTCTCTAAATTGTGACAAGAGTGACCTTATTTAGGCCACTTAATATGGCCTAAAAAGGTTGCCTGGGGGCCTGCATTGTATATAGGCCATATGTGGCCTAAATAAGCACTCCCGATGACAATGCCTACTCTTTCTTCACACTCAAGCTCTCTTATGCTTTCTCCCGATGACCGTGCTTTTTTTCCTCCCACTTCTGCCATTGTTAACGACCAAGACAAATTTCTCCCTGCGAGATGAGAAAAGGTCGTCATTGTCATTGTCATTAAGGCTAAAGAAAACGTGTTGGAACCTTAAATCGCATTGACAAAAGCATTAATGAGCTTATAGATTCTGTTGGTCATCCAACTTTTAGACCCGCATACTAAGATCTGGGAAGTTAAAAAACAGAGCGATTTGTTTTTATTCTGTTTTGACCGTGGCCAGACGAAAGTGAACAAGCTATTAATACAATATATTTATATATATATAAATTCCACGCTTGACTGGCATTCCAGTCATTATGCATCCTTAACCCTATCTGTACTCCCTGGAGTCATATTGTACCCCCGGGGTTGTATTTTTCACATTTTAGAATACTTCTAGTACGAAGATCTCTTT